ATTTCTTTTTTCCCTCACTTTTCAACAGATGTGATTATTCTGAAATCTTTTTGTTCTTCAAGCCAGAAAGACTATGACTTATCAGTTTTAGCCACATCTGAGACTCCATGACTTTCTTCCCTCAGGCTAAAATTAGAAGAAAAAGAAAAGAAAAAAAAATTCACACCCTGTGTTCTTTGTATTTTCAAGTTTCAGCTTTCCTCTAGAATTTGCCTGGTTTTGTTCACTTTCAAGAGCCTTCAAGTATTTATTTTTTATGTTTTTTTTTTCAGAGTCTGTGCTGTTATCTGTGGTATTATTGACTGATTAAGAGCATGCTTGAGCATATAGAAAGTAAAACATATATGGAGAGAGTGAAAGAGAAAGTTGGTTGCTAAGATGTACTGCAGTGAATGAGCACAGTTTAGTTCGTGAGTCTGGTTCCTTAGGCACTGGAATGTGAACCATTCTAGGAACTCCGCTGGTACCTTGCCCAAAATGGGCCATGTTATAAACTACAACTAGCTGCTGTGATAGATATCTGGGTGGTCAAGCATCTCCTTAACTGCATTCAGCCTTTATGGTAGATCATCAACTTTCATGTGATTTCACTATGCTCCCCAGTTGTACAAATTGTGGAGTGAGCCATCAGATCCCACTCTGCTCTAACTCCCATTGGAGGAGTCCCTCATGCTGTTTCCTCCTCTCAGAGGCAAGAGCCCAGGGGATCCAGCTGGCCTAGGTCCAGTCTGGTTAATCCAACATCAGAGGGAATCAATGAAGTTTTGCTCTGGCTATTTGAATATCTGAATATTTTAGGGAAGCCTTTGCCTCTTTTCCCTTCTCTTTAACCATTTTTCCCCTAGATTATCTCATTCATTCCCCGAACCCAAATTACCTTCTATATGCTAATAACTACCAAATTTATATCAGCAACCCACTTCTCTCCACTGAATTCCAAATTGGGACACCCAATTGCCTAATTTACATCTACTTTGAATGTCTCACAGATATCTCAAATTTAACATGTCAAAAATCAACTTATTAATGTCTACCTCCCTTCTCCCCAAAACTTCATCGTCCCCAAACTTTCTCTACTGAGTTGTTCAAGCCAAAGACCAGGGCTAGTCTCACTCTGATTTTAAAAATTCCTAGAAATAACCCATTTCAAAATTAGGCAAATATGATGATTAAAATTTATTTGTATTAAGAGGAATGCACTTATTCTAAAGTATCATTTCTCACATATCCAATGGACAAATTATCCACAAATTTGAAAATTACTATATCTGTGAGGCCAGTACACAGAGTGGGATAGCTCCTCAGAAGGAAGTAAAATATCTGGCAATATCTACCAAAATGACAGATGCATTTACTTTTTGATCCAGAAATCCCATCTCAGGGAATCTAAGTAACAACTGGGGTATTCGAATATATATACACAAAGTTGTCAAGTGTGGCATTCTTCAGAATAACAAATGGTTGGAAACAATTTAAGTACCAGCAATAAGTATCTCGTTAATGAAACTATCTTTTATTCTGCAAAGAAATATGCAGTTTTAAAAAATCAGAAAATTTCTAAGTTTAGATAGGGAGAGATTTTGAGAATACTTTAATAAAGAGAAAGAAAAAATAATAAGGTGCAATAACTATGTATGTTTTATGCCACTATTTGTAAGATAGAAAAGTGGTAAGTATAATGAAGTTTTTATTTACATAAAAAAATGGAGAACTAATAGAAATGGTGAATGAGGTGGTGGGACAAAGACGGGACTAAGGTTTCTCAGTATATATTTTTTAAATAGTTTTGTTTTTGAATCATGCAACTATACTAATTACAAACTTTACATACATTAAATTGATAAAATTCAGCTGAATGATAGAAAAAAGTAGCAATACATTACAGTTGAGAAAAGCTTATCTAGGAATCATTTAACATTAGAAAATGTATTAATGTAATTCACAGCATTAACATTTTAGAGGAGAAAATCTGTATTATTACTGTCAAAGTTTCAAAACTAAAGAAAGGTACATTAGAATATTCTTTTCAAAAACACATCTCTTACCATTTTATTTCTTCTCTACATATTATCTCAAGTACTAACTCAGCATGGTTTTCCAACTCTAATAAATTAACCATCAAACATCCAGTACTTGAGTGAAAACCACATGTTAACCTACCAATGTTAATTTTGGAGAGTAACAGGCAATTTATAACAATGGGTAAGAATCTCTGAATATTCATTTCCTAATAGCTTTAATTATTTTAAGAGGTGTAAAAATGGCTGACCATGTATAAGACATCTTAGAAATTATAGAACAAAGGCTAAAAAAATGTTGACCTAAAGCAAAACACTGCCAGTTATTTCTCCAGCAAAAAGCAAACAAACAACCCCACCCCCCCAAAAAAAACAGGTTTATTCGGGATCAATAAAGAATTGCAATTAGGGGTATGCAACCATGGTGAGCCTAGTGCAAGTGCCTATGTAACAAGGTAATGTGGACTCAATCCTGGGAGACCTATAGTATTCAAAGAGTCCACTGGAAGAATTGAGAGTTTGAAGTATAGTGGCTTTTCATTGGCTAAGTTGTGACAGTCTCTCACTGGTTGAGCTCTTGCAGGCAAGAAGAGCAAGCCTTTCTTCTTCCCGTTGAGCTCTGCTGTCATCCTAAGGTATGAATTCTCCCATAGCTTGTCTCCCAACTCTATTTTAATTGAAATTTCTATTAATTTTTTTACAAAAACAATGACCATGCTTAAGAATAAATAGGAAGGCTTGTTGAAACACTGACTCTTGGGGTCACCCTCAAAGATTCTCATTAAGTGGGTCTGGAGTGGGCCCAGAGATTTGGATTTCTAACAGGCTACCAAGTAATACTGATAATTCCTGTCATGAGAATGCTATTTTGAGTTGGACTGAACTAGACTAGAGCAGTAAGACAAAACTCTACAAAGATGATTAAACAGAGGAAACTGGGAAAGGAGAACATGAATTACAAATGATAAAGGTAGAGAAATTTACTAACTGGATGAATATACATCGGACTGCATGTCCTATATTACAGTAATACAAAAGCACATGAGATCTCTAAAATTATCACACTCTTTTAAACTTTCTATACCCTTGCACATCATACACTTTTCTGTTTGATAGTCCCTCCTCTATCTGCCAAAACTGTAAAAAGCATTATGGAATGTGAATATGTCTTAGATTTACTCCATAGGGAATCACTGAAGGACTGAAAGTAAGAAAAGGTGTAGAGGAGAAAGCTTTTCTTCCCACCACCTTCTTAGGTCTGTACCTAAGAATTAAACTGACGTAAGACAGATTAATAGGAGAAAAACATAAAATTTTATTTGGAGTCTTCAAAAAGAAAAGAAAGAAAAATGAAGACCCAAAGAAGCTGTTCTGCCCAAAAGCTTATATACCCTTTTCAACAAAGAATGATAAATTGCAGGGATGTTACAAGACAGAAAGGCTTGGGCTAGGGGCAGTTAGTTTGTAGGGCAGTGACTAGGAAATATATGGGAGGTGGTGTGACTCATGGACAATAAGGGTATTTTAGTAAGTTTGTTTGTACAAGTCCATTCTGGCGTGGACTCCCAGTCTCTGGTGGTGAGAATGTTCTCCCCTTCTTGTCCTTCAGGGAGGACATCTTTCTCAAGGGAAATTTTATGACCTGCATTTTGGTAGAAAATGGGAGGTCAGTGAGCTGTTCCTGCATCTGCTGTTTCTCAAGTACCTTCAGTTCAAAATAATCAAAATGCCAAAATAATATATTTGGGGTGTTATGTTCTGAAACCTTTCACACGATAATAGTGTAGTTTGCTTGGATTAGTGTGATAGAATAGATTGCTAAGGTCAAGTCGGAAAAGGTACTTAAAATTTACAAACCATACTTAAGTTGTCAATTAATTTTTGACCAATGTGCCAAGGTAAGTCATTAGGAAAATGACTGTCATTTCAACAAATGGGGCTAGAACAGTTGGCTATCTTCATATAAAAATAAATGAATTTAGACACTTATTTAGCCCAACATATGTAGAAACTAACTTAAAATAAATTACAGACCTAATATAAGACCTAAACTACTAAATTTTTAGAAGAAAACATAGCAAAAATATTTGTACTATTGAGTAAGGCATACATTTCTTAAACAGGACATTTAAAAACACAAACTATGGGCGAAAACATTTGATAAGATGGTCTTCATTAAGACTAAAAATGTATGATCTTCAAAAGATACAGTTAAGAAAATGAAAATGCATACCAGATAGTACAAAAGAATAAATGATGTAGAAATACATATTTGACAGATGGCTTATATCCAGAAAATATTTACAAAAAACAAAAACAAAAAGCTTATGCAAATCAACAATAAAGCAAACAACTCATTTTTAAAAGGGCAAATTATTTAAACTGGCACTTTGCAAAAGTCAAAAAGCTTATGAGATATACTTAACATTACTAGCCATCAGGAAAATGCAATTAGAAATCTTAATAAGATCCCACTTCACAGCCACAAGAATTTATAAAGTTGAAACAAAAAACAACTGACAATGGCATGCGCTGGAGACTTCAGGCATTAAGAGAATAAATCCTGAGTTCTCACCACAAGAAAAACATGTTTTCCTATTTATTTAATTTTATACCTATATGAGGTGATGAATGTTCACTGCACTTACTGTGATAATCACTTCATGATGCATGTAAATCAAATAATTATGCTGTATGTCTTAAACTTACATAGTGCTGCATGTTAATTACATCTCAATAAAACTACAAGAAAAAAAATTATTGTATCTCTAGCAGAAATAGCAATTCAAATTCATTTTTAATCATGTTCATATTTTGATCCTTTCCAGGAGTAAGCAGTTAGCCATTAAGACAGTGACAGAGATACGTTTATTGCTTAGATAAGTGCCGCAAAAGAAAGCATGCTCTTTGAAATGGGATATAGGACAGGGAAGTTTCAAAAAGGTAGACAGCAGAAGCAGGACTGTTTATAGGAAAGCTTACCTTCTTCAGGCAGGATAGCAGGTTCCTCTGGGCAACCGATGCGATGAGAGCCAGGCATTCCTGGGAGACACACATTGATGTTTTGATTAATAGATTGCCCCAGAATGAGCAGTTAAACAATAAATTAAGTAGGATTAGACAATAAATTAATGGGAAAGCTGTAGAACACCAGAAACGTCTTAGTTTATAACTCCCCACCTGGCCTTTGTGTTACTGCAGTTTATTTGTCATTATTTCTCACTGTATGATGATGCAGCTGGAAGCATTGATGATCTAGATCACTGATATTCTAAAGATCCTTTACACTGTCCTTGGAAGTCAATGTTCAATGCAATTTGCTTATCTAAGAAATTTGGATCTACTAAAATTATGAGGCTAAAAAAAATAAGTCAAGAGCAACAGCTGTCAATTGTTTGTATCCTAAAGCCTATCCACTCTTCCCTAAAGTCCATTCTATGCACTCTCAGTTCCAGTTTAGCACAGATTTATCCTAACTTAGGTCTTCCAACATTGATCTGGAACTGGCACTTCTTAAACTTTGTGGTTTCAAGGACGATTATCAGACACAAACCAAATTAGGTTTAATGTAATTGGAGATACGAACATAACAATTATGTTTTGTAGATTTAATGTACTACTTCTATTCCATTTTAAAAAGGATTCGTCTAAAATAATAGATCATTGTGTAGGATGAAGCAAATATGGAAGCTTAAAACGGTTTTCTGAAGGTATGTTGCCCACAGATAATAGAGTGTTCAAAAAGTTTAAAATTTATTCTTTTGAAAGCTCACTGTCATATTTACAAATTGAGTCCTATCTGCAGGGATATATTCCATATTATTTTGTATTTCTTTCTTCTCTACTGTGAATTTAAGATGGATAGTTCGCCTTATTTCATAGTAGACTTCTCAATATCTCCTTGTCCATACGTGATAAATAGTATAAACTGTAAGGTCACTTCATATTTTGTTATTCATGAAGTCAGGAGATCTAGGTTCTGGTCTAGTTTTATATCATCTCAGGCTAGCCTCTTTCGCTCTGAAAGCCTATGCCCTCATCTCTAAAATAAGACAAATGATATCAGCTCTGTCTGCTTCATAATGAGGTTATGAATACCAAGTGCTTTTGAAAGAGCTTTAAACACTATAAAACCATCTAAAAGCAGAAGATGTGATTAGCTCCAAAGTGGAATAATAGTAAATATACTGTACAAGGTCACTTTTATTCATTCATGTATTCAACAGTCTAATCCTCTTTTTTTTCCCCCTATGAAACAAATAGTAAGCATCTTCTGTGTCCCAGGGATTATCTGATATGAAGAAATCTAAAATGAAGAGATTAAAAGATACAGAGTTTATCTCTCAGGCACTCAAAGTCTATCTAGGTTGGGAGACAGACAGGTAAGCAGCTAATTAAAGTAGAAAGTCATAGTTGCCATAATAGACATAATAACAGAAAGCTGAGGAAATAGAAGAATCTAATAAATCTGTTCGAGAGAAATGCTTCATAGCAAAGGCAACTGGAGGTAAATTTTGGTGGGTTATTGTAATCAGAAGTTTGATTTGGGGTAAGATAATAGGGTGAAGGTCAAGATTTAAGTTGGTGTCTGGAGGTAGAAGACTTGATAGACTGTTGTTTGCACTGAGGTTTTCATGAAGAATTTGCACCTCAGGCAAGATTGCTACACAGGCTCTAAACTGGGTAGACAAGTAACAGTCACAAATAACAAACCTCTGAATGGTTCAGAGTAATTAATTCAATCATGTAATTTTATGCTCCTCTTAGATGACTGGCAGCCAGCCTCACTCTAGAGGCCACAGGAACTAGCACTCGAGGGCTACTGGAATGATAATTGTATATGCTATTCTTTAAGAGGCATTTTCATGCTTAATTGCAAAGTCTTACAAAAATCCCATGCAATCTGAGAGGAACTGATAGTAGAGGCAATGCATATGTACTTTGCCTGAATAATTAAAGTGGAGGGATTTAGACCATCCTATTCAAAATATACTTCTTTGGTAGGTTGATTATTTTGAGCTGAAAAGTGCATGAGAAACAGCAAATGCAGAAAGGGCTCCCTGACCTCCCATTACTCTCCCCTACCCGCCCCTACAATATATTTCCAAGTTACTGTCCCACAAATTACTGACCCTCACTCAAGGTCACTCAAGGTCACTCTTTTGTCTTGTTACATCCCTGTAATTTATTGTTCTTTGTGTAAAAAGGTATACAAATATTTGGCCCTAATGGCTTCTTTGGGTCTTTATTTCCCTTCTGAAAACTCCTATGTGCATATAAAAAAAAATTAAGTGAAATTATATATAAAAATAATTAAGTGAAATGTGTATTTTTTTCTCATATTAATTTGTCTTAAGTCAGTTTGACTCCTAGGCCTGAGTCCTTTCTTTTCTGAGATATTAGCATTTCTGGACTCAAATGCTAGTATTTCCACCAAGTTTTGAGAAATCTTAACCAGTAAAAGTGATCTGAGCATTAACATTTGATAAAGATCTTGGATTTTATCTTACAGGTAATGAGGATATTTGCAGGAAAAAAAATGACAGTTTTTGAAAATTACTATTCTGACAACATCAAGGTCAACAGATAAAAATGAGGATGAGGATGCAGTTGACAGAAGAGAGGGAGAACAATTAAGAGTAATACACTGACTTAGATGTAAGATCATCCATGGAGGGATTCATGGTAGTGGTGATAAAAAAAAATGATAATAATAATGAAATACTCCTAAAGTAGTATTGACAGTATGCAATGAGACCAGTGTGGAGAGGAGGGAGGAGGAGGAGTTAAAGATTCTCATTTTGGAGTCAGTGTAGTTAGCAGCACCATTTACTAAAATATGTCATATACATGGAGTGGGTATGGCAGAGAAGATAATGAGTGCAATTTAGATATGTTCATTTTTAAAGCACTTGTGGGATATCTAAGTATAGATGCCAACATGACGGTTATAAATATGATTCAGGTCCTCAAGAAAAAGATCTAGACTGGAAATAAATATGTGTAATCATCAACTTGGTTCAAATCATAGAAAAGGTTGGAATGATTTTTTAAAAGACCATTTTAATTTAAAAGATGGCAACATTAACAGCTAGCCTGAAGATGAGATACCAACAAAGAGTTCTGAGGAAGAAAGTCACAGAGTAAAGAGAAGTAGTGTTGGAATTAACGAAAAGACAGTTTTAAAGGAAAAGCAGAGGGAAACTGGGTGCAGACAAAAGAGCCAAATGTTCCAGTGATACTGGCAAATGAAAAAACGGAAAAGAAAAATCAAGGATACTATTAACCTTAACATAATAGTCTGGCATTGTGGTTAAGATGAAATTCAAGTTTTAAAGGCTTTAG